AGGTGTCGTGACTCTTGCTCTATCACGGTCCAGGCTGAGCTTTTCAAGCCCCTCCTTCAACTCGAAAGTTCCGCGAGTGCCATTCGTATGTACACTCGGTGACCACTATTGACTTCTGTCATTTCTGCTTGAACTATGGAAAAATAATAAAGGCAAGGAGGCAATTGACAACACATTTGTCCAGTTGTAAGCACACATGCTTTTTATGATGGTGTGTGGCTTCTTTATCCTTTTGCTGAGGTCGATCTAGTTAGCTAGCCTACAGCTCCCAGTTATTCGACCCTTCATACAGGTGTTGCTGTGGAGGTATTTTGATAATATAATTAAAGGCCAGTTGACTAAAAAGTAGGGGACATTTTCTCAAATAGTGTAGGTGGGCCTGTCAGAATTTGGAAAAACCTTTAAACCAGGGCTGAGTTTTTCCTGAGGCAGGATTAGACGGCAGTTTAAAAAGTTCTATGTCCCTGGGTTCCAGCTTCCTGGTCGCTTGTCCCACAGCGTTTTTTTTGTTTGTTTGTTTGTTTTGTTTTTTGTTTGTTTTTTTTGTTGTTGTTTTGGTTTGGTTTGGCTTTTGTTGTTGTTTGCCACTATCACAACTATAAAAGACAATAGCTTCAAATGAATAAGTGGGAAAAATGATGTGTATTGTTAATATATAAAATAGGTGTATATAATTTACTAATGGTTCTGGCCCTTAGAATTCTGACAAATACAGAAGTTTGCAAGCAACTTTTTATTTACCTTTCTAGAATTAAAAATACAGCATTCACAATTATGTAAAAATACAGCATTCACAAAATCATAGTCATTTTCACTTATATTTCTAGGATAAACAATAATGTAGATTCATATTTTGTCTATTTTTCATACTATGGATGTAAATCTACTTCCTTGTATGTAAATCTGTGTGTGGTAAAATAGTCATAGTCTTTCACATTTACTTTTATACTTGATTGATTTTAAAATAAAATTCCACACAGAGAAGTAAACCTACTAAAGGAGTCTCAGAGTTTTCTCCCAGTGGTAATCTTTTATAACTATATCAAAAGCAGGATAGTGACATTAGTCCAATCCATAGAGCGCATTCAGGTTTCATCAACTTAACATGCATCCATTTCTGAATCTGAATATAAATAAGTTCTATGAAATTTTGTCACCCATGTAGATTCCTTTGACCAACACAACCATCTCAAAGATTCCCCCTGGTATCCTTTATCATCAGTCACCTCCTTTTCCTAACACAATTCCTGGCAACTCCTAACATGTTCACCACACCATCCCTATAATTTTGTCATTTCAAGCATATTATATAAATGGAATCATTCATTTTGAAATCTGTGGGGATTTTTCACTCAGCATAATTTCTTTAACATCCATCACTGTTTTTATTGCTGAGTGATAATCTACACTGTGGATATGCCACAGTTTAACAGTTTTTCCATTGAAGGACATTTAGGCTGTTTGCAACTTTACCCATTAAGAAAACTGCTGGGCCATGGAGATCGCTCAGTAGGAAATCACTAGCCACCAAGCCTGATGATCTTATTTTGATTCCTGGGATCCAAGAGTTGGAAAGAACCCCCTGAGTCTTGAGAACTGTCCTCTGACCTCCACACATAGGATACACGCACGCACACACTCACGCACGCACGCACACAGGCACACACGCACATGCACACAAAATTTTAAAAAAATAATTTTTTTAAAAAAGAAGAAAAGTGCTGTAAACGGTCTTATAGAGGTTTTTGTGAAAATAGTTTCATTTTCTTATGACAAATAACTGTTAAGTGCAATGGACAATCAGATGCTAAATGTGTGCTTAGTGTTATAAGAAACAGCTACATTTTTTTCAGACTAGCTGTACCATTTTGTTTTCCTAATTGTAAGAGATCAGTTTCTTTACTCTTTGTTCATATTTGTTAGAAATAGTCACTATTTCTGTTTTAGCCATTCTATGGTGATAGCTCATTTTAAATTGACTTTCCGTAGTGGTCAATGATGTTGAACATCCTTGCATGTCTTTAGTTGCCTTCTCTTTGGTGATGTGTCTGCTTATGTCTTTTGGATATTTTCTAATTGGATTATTTCTTACTATTAAATTTGGAGAAATATTTATATATTCTAAATTCAAGTCCTCTGCCAGATATGTGTATGATCAGAAAATAGTTTTCCCATCAGCAGCTGATCTTTTCACTTATTTAACATGAGGTTTCATGAACTATTTTCTGAGCAATTCAGTTTATCAAGTTTTGCATTTATATATAGTGCTTTTGGTGTCATGTCTAAAAAATCTTCACCTCCTCCCATTTGTCTTCTCTCATGTTTTCTCTAAAAAGTGTTATGGTTTTATGTTTTAAGTCAGTGGTTCACTTTGAATTAATTTTTGTCGTAAACTTGGACCTAAGGTAGAGCTTCTTATTTTTGCCTATAAACAATTGATGACTCAAATAAAATGATTGTCTTTGCTTCATTAAATTGCTTTTGTACCTCTGTCAAAATCAATTGAGCCAGCTGTATGGGGCCATTTCTTGGCTCTTTTGTATTCTATTAGTCTGTGTCTCTCCTGTGAATACTCGTCTTAATTGTGACAGCTATAGAACAAGTGGGTAGAGCAATCTCTCCCACTTTATTCTTTTTCCAAATTGTTTTGGCTATGCTGGTTATTTTGGCTCTGTTGTTTTGTTGTTGTTGTTGTTGTTGTGGGTTTTATTTTAATACTACATAGCTCTGACGGTCCTGGAACTCACTCCGTAGACCAGGCTGGTCTCGAACTCACAGTGATTCACCTGCCTCTGCCTCCCAAGTGCTGGGATTAAAGGCATTCACCACCTCACTAGGCTGGTAATTTGTCTTTTCATATAAATTTTGTAATGAACCTATTTTGTATTTATAAAAACGTTGATAGAATTGTAAAGGGAACTGCATCAAATCTATATATCGGTTTGGGAAGAACTGACATCTTCCTAACCTTCTCTTCTAATCCTTTAACATGATAATTTCCATCTCTCCATTTAGTTAGAAACTTCTTTGACTTCTTCATTGGCATTGTGGAATTTTCAGCATATAGATCCTATGCACATTTTGTTAGGTGTGTGCCTAAGTACTTTATTTCCTTTGGAGTGATTATAGCTGGTAATGTGTTTTAAATTCCAGCCACACATTAATTGTTCACTGCCAGCATAACATAGAATTGCAATTGATGTGTTGATCTTAATATCTTGTGACATACTGAACTCCATTATTGCTTCTATGAATCTTTTGGTAGGCACTTTGGAAATTTCTATGTAAAAAAAAAATGTTATTGGGCTTGTAAGATGGCTCAATGAATAAAGGCACTTTCTACCAAGCCTGGCAACCTTATTCATTATTAAATGAATAAATGTAATTTAAAAGAAAGGAAGATAAATAACTTGAGTTGTTTGAAAGTGGAGATGGTTTTATCTCCTTTCAAATCATATGATTTTTTTTCCTTTTCTTGCCTGATTGCACTGAGGGGAGCATTTGAATTATATTGAATGAAAGTGACAAGAGTAGACAACCTTTGTTAGGATAGATCTTAGGGGGAAACATTTCCTCTTTCACCAGTAAATGCGGTACTAGAAAGGTTTGGGGAGATGTTCTTTATCAAGTTGAGAAAGTACCCATCTATTCATAGTTTGCTTAAAAATGTTTACCGTAGCCAGGGTGGTGGCTCACGCCTTTAATCCCAGCACTTGGGAGGTAGAGGCAGGCATATCTCTCTGAGTCTGAGACCAGCCTGGCCTACAGAATGAGTTTCAGGTCAGCCAGGACTATTACCCAGAGAAATCCTGTCTCAAAAAAACAAAAAGGAAACCCACAAAATTAATTATTCATTTTATGTATATGAATGTTTTGACCGTCTGTGAACCACATGCATGCCTGGTACCTGTGAGGGCCAGAAGAAAGAGATGGGTTGCCTAGGCCTGGAGTTATGGATGGTTGTGGGCTGCCATATGGGTACTGGGAGATGAAACTGGATCCCCTGAAAGAGCAACCAGTGCTCTTAACTGCTGAGCCTTCTCTCCAAC